TCCATTGACAGATAATCCACACCCAATCCATGGACAGATAATCCACACCCAATCCATGGACAGATAATCAACACCCAATCCATTGACAGATAATCAACACCCAATCCATTGACAGATAATCAACACCCAGTTCATTGACAGATAATCAACACCCAGCCCATCGGGGGAGACAGGAGCCCCTCCTGTGCCACAGACCCCCCAAAAACACAGCTGCCACATCCTGTGCTTCCATGTCACCACGTGGCACCACCTGGAGAAAAAAGTTTGCCATGGTGACCCTCTCCTTTCCATGCACAGTGCTCTCACCACCAATGCATGGATGGACAGACTGCTTTTAGGATCTGTTTTTAGGAACTGTTTTTTTAGGAAAAAACAACAGTTCAGTTTTTCATTTTTGGGACTAACAGTCGCCCCCATTTTCCCCTGGGGCCGAGGGTCCACGAACAGAGATCTTCTTCTCGTCTTCCTCTCTGAAGGGGGCACCACCAAAAACCTCCTTAACTTTTCTCTCTTCGCTCCACTTCTGTCTTTTCCCAGCTGAAGAAAGTTTCTTTAGCTCACCAGCATCCTCCTAAAATACCGTCTCTCTTGGAGGAGAAGATCAGTTCAATCTGTGGCTACCAAGAAAAAGTCCAGCCAAAAGCCGCTCCATCATCTCCTCCCACCTAGAATTTCTCCTTCTAACACCCCGAGTCCCAGGCTGTCTCTTTTCCTCTTTTTCAAACCAAGGAGGAGAAAAATTTCACAAAGCTTTCATTTCTCAGAAGGGTTAAAAGTCCCAAATCCCAGGGATGGCTCCCACAGGCGGCTGGGCACCTTGTGGTCCTCCTGCTCTTCTCCTTCTCGTGGTGAACTGCTGATAAAACCACCGAGTCTCTTTTTCTCTCTTGGGAGAGAGAGACTCTGGGGGGATTGGAGACATCCCAGATTTCTCCATCCTTCCATCTGCAGGGGGTTCCAGCCCCTCCACCCTTGGGTGACCTCTGATGGCCACATGGCTTCTCCCCTCCCCACCCAGCTCGTGGCCGGGCAGGGGAGAGTCCTGCACTGACCGCTGACCAGAACCCAAAAAAGCGAGTTTTCCTGGGAATTCTGCTTTTAACCCCTCTGTGTTCTCAGAGCCGTGTCCACCTTCAATTGGTCAAAGTCCAAACTGACTTCTTCCTTCCGGAAAAATTCTTTTTCCGTGTCAAACCACGACACATGGTAATCCCCACCCTGTATTCCAGTGCCTTCTCTATCCATCACTGCAAACCCTGCCCCTGTTCTGGACCCTTCCCTGTCAGTCTCCTGTTAACCCCTCCCCTGCCAGTTCTGCCCCACTGGAATTCCCCTAATGTACAACCTCCCACTGGTCCGTGTGACCTCACCTCTCCACCTGTCGGAATCTGTGGGTGTTGGTGATTCCGAGGTTGTAGAAAGTCTCTGTCTTTCTGCCCCGCTGCCAAAGCAGAAGCCATAATTCGTCTGTGCTGTTTCAAGGTTGTTTATTCTGTTTATCTCTAACATGTTCTGCTGCCCTGCCGCAGCTCTGTCCTGCAGGGCAGCGTGTGGGGCTCTGCCCTCAGTGGGATGGTACAAACATTAAATACCACAAACTACCTGTGCTGGATTTACAATAACGTGCCAATATCTGTCACCTACGTTGGACAGTGTGTCCCCAGCCTAAACCAAATCCCCAGTTTATGGTATATAATGTTTGTAACATTATATACCAGAAACTACATGTGCTGTATTTACAATAATGTGCCAATGTAACATCCCTCAGTGGGATGTTACAAACATGAAATACCAGAAACTATCTGTGCTGGATTTACAATAATGTGTTAACATTTATCACTTATGTTAAACACTGTGGCCCCTGTCTAAACCCAGTCCCCAGTTTCTGGTATATAATGTTACAAACATTATATCTGGTACATAATGTTACAAGCATTATAATATTACAAACATTATAATGTTACAAACATTATAGACCACGAACTACATGTGCTATATTTACAATAATGCGCCAATATAACATCCCTCAGTGGGATGGTACAAACATTAAATACCACAAACTACCTGTGCTGGATTTACAATAACGTGCCAATATCTGTCACCTACGTTGGACAGTGTGTCCCCAGCCTGAACCAACAGAAAAATGCCAACACCACAGTGAAACATGGAGGGCATGAAGAAGGAGGAAAAGGACAAGGCACACCCAATTTCCTCCATCTTGTCCCCTCTGAACCCCTAATCTAGAATCCTAAAATTTTACTTTTGCACCCGTGCCACACTTAATTATTACTTATATCAAACCCTCAGACCTGGTAATTCATCCTGTAAGATTGAAAACTATTTTCCATGGGCAGAGATCACAGACAGTGTCTCTGGGGGCTCTGTCCAGGGGGGTTCCTGACCCCTGCCAGGGTCCCAGACCTGCCAGGGCAGCCAGAGGGAAGCCCTGGATTCCCACACTTCAGTATTTCAATCTCACTTGGAGTTCTTGAGAAGGGCTTTGAGCACACTCTGAGGGTCTGGGTCTGATGCAAAGAGCACCAAAGCCCCGAGAGGGTCATTAAAGTCCTTGTGCTGTGTCTGTTGAGATGGAACAGTTCATTTGACTTTTGGACCTATCTGTAGGTAAGGGCATTGTCCAGCCATTAAGGGGCATGATATTCATCCTGGCTGTACTATTGTGGTTCTTCTGCTAGGCAATTATATTTATCTATCCTTCCCAACATCTCCCCTGTTTTCACTGAACCATTTGAAATACTAAATATTGACTTAACCACTATTTTCTGCACACTTGGAGGTGTGCAGGGTATTGCTACTAAAACTATATTTATTATTACTGGAACAATCAAGCTTATTTTACAGAGTTTCTTTAGCTAAGGTGCAAGGCTCAAACCATCAAATAAACTGTTTAGCTGAGATGGATTATTTGTTATCTAATCACTGATTATAGTAGGGGTGGCATTATCAGAATTTTCTGGAAAAGGTCTTATAATTAAATGGGTTGAAAAAGGTTTGTTAGGGTTTGTGTTAGATATATAGATGGTCTTAGAGCTTGCAGGCTTGGCTAAAGCAACCCAGGCATTTGTCTTTGGTTGAATTACAGGTAAAACTTCAATACAAAAACTGAAACAGAAGAACAAAAGCAACATGCATGCATGTAAATGATAAAAGTCCATTTTTCTCTCGAGCTGTTTCTCACAGGTCATTTTTACTTGATGAGTCTGCACAGTTCAGGTTTGGGTGCTTGATTCTTGGCTTGTACTTGCAGAAGTACTGCCTGGTGTGGGGGTGTCAGCAGATTTCGGTGTGTGGTAGGGCTTCACATTCTTTGCTGGGACCCACTGGAGTCCTTCACCTGTAGAAACACAAGCAAAACCTTTCCCCCATATTATAAGGTTGTGTGGACCTTCTATTTGTCCTGAATCTAAGATTTTGAGTAAAACTGGGGGGTGCCCCTTTATTTTTACTTTTTTGTTGTTCAGGAAATGTCTATAAATGGGGGGTGAGGCTCTCCTGCAGAGCTATTTAGAAAATTGTAAACATACAAAGCCTTACTCAACCTCCTTTGAGGTGCAGCCTGATCTACTCCCCCTTTCTGTAGATTTAAAATGCGTTTTAGGGTTTGATGTGCTTTTTCTATGGTACCTTTTAACAGTGGTTTAAAATAGGAAGAGGAGATACCACCACACAATTCTTTCAAGTCCTGGGGAGGCATAACTGTGCATGTTCTGGGACCAGCAGGTTGCTGGCTGGATACCACAGGCATGGTTTGGGGATTCAGACTGTCCTCTTTACGACTATCACATCTGATTCCATGCCAGTCTGTCAGTTGGAGATTATCAACCCCTTTCTGGGAATTTTGTAAAATTAGGATTTGCAAGGGCAAAACAGTTCTCTGTTTGTCCTTTATTTGTCAAAGCGGCTGCCACATTCCATCCTTTGAAGCGATACGCGGAATAAATAAATAGACTCCATAACTCTCCGAAATCTTGTGCCCCGAGCTGAAGTTTGCCCCCCAATTTTATTCACAAAGGTGTTACATATGCAATACATTACACAACTTTTCTGTGCATATTCAACCCCTGGCCCCGCCTGTCTTTGCTTCTCATGCTGAATAGGTCCACGCCCTTCTGGGCATGTGTAGTTTTTTGTGGGGGCTTTTATGGGGGTCCCTGGTGGTCTTTGAACTATAAACCATCATCTTCCTCTGCATTGAACTTTTGAACTCTCCTCCTCTGCGCTTGCGCTTTTGGTCCTTTGCTCTCCTATCTGGATAAGTCCATCATCCTTGACATGTTTGGAAACAGAGGGGCTTCCTTGTCTGTAGTCTTGGCATTCCTGGTCTTTTCCGATATTTGTCTTTTTGCAAGAAGCTTTAAAGATCTTTGTTTTTCTTTCCTATGCCTTTTTGTGCAGAGGTTTCTTAAAATTCAACACATGATTCTACAAACATGATACATTCATTTTTGATATATTCATTTTTGATACATTCATTTTTGATACATTCATTTTGTTAGCTCAAGTGATCTCTGGAAAATCTTTCGTTTCAAGAGGAAAAAGGGAAGAGCCTGCATGTGCGGAAGGATATGTGGATGCTTTGCCAGCTGTAGAATGTAGATCCGGCGGAGGAAGGGATATGCATAGGATGCTGTAGAATCGTGTTGTGGTGCTGCAGGCAGGCTCGTTGGAGGGTGGAGGGTGTGGTCGTCCAGGAGCTGCTGGTAGCTGTGAGGATGGGGTTTCCAGAAGCTGCGAAGGAGGCGGTGGAGGGAGGACTATTTGTGATGAGGCTGT